CGTGTCTCCTGCAAGGGGGAAGAACAGTCACAGGCAGGAAAAAGAACAGAATTAAGCACACTATGGCTCACATCCTTGACTGCACAATCCTCGTAAACACTTGGGAAAAGAAAGCGTCTCTCTATCCCTAGGAGAACAACCTGGACAAAGACCAGAAGAGGTACAACAGGGCACAGCCAAGCAAGGGCCAGAGCAAACACACCGCAGGACAAAATTACTCTCACTCAACTGCAGTGCGGGAGGCTGAACTTCAAGTCTTGGTCAAGGTACAACAACAGTTGCCATCATTTTAGAATCATATATCATGCACAAAATCTCTCCGATAGCTCTAAGCTAGATTACCTAAGAGAAAACCTGTGAATGCACAACTGCAACTCACAGTTTTAATGCTTTTATGGCATCTAGAAAGCTCCGACTACCTTCAGAGTAGGAGAGTTCAAATGCACAGCACAAATTTAAGCAAACATTCTTGTTGGCAGGCTTATGTATCCCATCTTCCCAAGGTACTAGCTTTAGTAGAAACAAAAAAAGAAATCTAGTTAAACTACTGTTACCTTCAAGTAAGAAAAATCCTCATAAATTGCAGCTACACAGGGTTTGAGTTTTTAGTTTTTTCTTTTCCTTACAATAGAAAGATAGAATAGATGAGAACAGTGCTGGATGGAAAGGGCCCCTGGAAGTCTCTCTACCACCACTCTCTCCCAAGGACCGAGATCCACTTCACCCAGGACACAGCCCAGGGCTGCACCATCCTCCTGGGGAACTACTTCTCCCCAATACTCAACCAGATCCCATGGAAGCTGCAAGTTCGGGCTTCTGCCCCTTCTCCTACACTGTCTGTCACAACTGAGAGTGGTCTGGCTCCATCATCCTTGCAATGGCCCTTTAAGGAGCTGTAAACTACTAGAGGGTTGCTCCTCAGGTTCCACCTCAACCTCTTACCTTTACTTATCCTCAATAAAAGGCATTGAGTTGAAAAACAGTCAGGCTAAGGGTACCCAGAAATTAACAAGAGCCCTTGTATTTCCACTTGTTTAAGGTAAATGCAGGTTAAGGGCTTTTTTGAGAAAATACAAAAAAAGCTTAGATCAGTTTGTTATTCTAAAACATACAACACACAATTGAAATGACAAATAAACTACACATCTCCATTCACCTTTGTGAAATTCTTTGAAAACACAGATTCTTTAGCATACCTGCGAAGGAAGTATTTTGGCAACCGCTCCACTACACCGACAAGAAACTCTGAAACTGAAGCTAAGCTGCTCACTCGCAATAGGTTTCTCTCCACTGCTTTTGGAAGGGTCTTCTAAGGAACCCTTGCTTTCAGGCCAGCAGTCCTGATGGCTCTTTCTCTCTGGTACCACACACCTCTCATCAGCTCCCGCCGGATACCCCTCATATACAGTCTCTCTCACTTGTTCCGTTTTCTGCTTTTTAGTTGCAGTATTTGCCCCTTCTTCTGATTTTCTCTTGAGAGGCAATTGGTTTTCTTGAGAGACATCATCATTTTTCCCCTCACATCCATGAAGGTTTCTCCATATAGAGATGACATCCAGCCAGTACTTTGGTTCCTCAATGACAATGCTTTTAATCTCATGCAGCATTTTCCCTGGAAGAAAAAGCAGTTTCAGGGTAAGCAGTTCAGTCTCAGCATTTGATTTTCCTACAGACTCAGAGCAGCTGTTAACAGAGACTGCGTTCATATTTTGCTAATGTGCGACTCCAGGACCCAGAGCAGCATCAGCCATCCCAGGCACAGCTGAGCTCTCAACACCCACACACCCCACCAGCACAGACGCAGGCAGTCCTCGGATTACAGGCTCTGCAGAACAGACGTTAAATCGTGCAAGGGTTGAATTCAGCAAAACTCAGCAGCTCTAGAAAACCAAACCACCTCCGAGAGTCATTCCCAGGGACACAGGACCAGCCTACCATGCCACCCTCCCCAGAAAGCACTGGGGCCAGAATCAGAGATACAAGATACTTTCCAGGACTGAAAAACAGACACGAACATGATTCAGCTCAAGTAAAAAGCCACAACTTTATTCTTTTATAAAGGAAATCTCTCCTGGCTCTTCATCAACCTGCCGTCAACCCTGCAAAGTCTCCAACACACACCTAAACTTAGACCCATGAGTAGTCCTCTTGAGCTAGCTACATGAGAGACACGAGGAATATAGAAGCCCATTCACTTAAAAACCTTGAAGCTGGTCAGGGAGGTGGAGGAGGGGGGGAAAGGTACTTCTATTTTTCATTTCAAAGTTGAGAATTATGGTCAAAGTTGAGAATTATGGTCAAAGTTGAGAATTATGGTCAAAGTTGAGAATTATGGTCAAAGTTGAGAATTATGGTCAAAGTTGAGAATTATGGTCAAAGTTGAGAATTATGGTCAAAGTTGAGAATTCATTTCAAAGTTGAGAATTATGGTCAAAGTTGAGAATTATGGTCAAAGTTGAGAATTATGGTCAAAGTTGAGAATTATGGTCAAAGTTGAGAATTATGGTCAAAGTTGATCCTCAAAGCTGAAGGTCATCTGTGGTCTCCCAAATAAAATCCCAGCAGCACACAGATATCAATCTATCAAACTTGAAATTCTTATTCCAACACTGACCGAGAATGTGACCTGAGTAGCTGAGATTTACCAGAAATCTGTGTACTGAACAGTTCAGTGACACAAGACTCATGCCTGGATCCACTTCGGCTAACAGAAAATGACTCACGGTAAAAATGCACACGGGGGGTCCAGAACTGGACTTCACTTCCAGGGTGCGGTGTTTGTTGTTTTCTTTTTTGGGGAGAGGGGGTGTCTTACACCTACACATATACGTACAACGCCAACAGAACACAAGCTAGTAAGAGATCTATTCAAAACGATTTCAAAGCCACTTTCAGCACTAAAAAAGCATTGAAAACATATCTAGGTGAAAGATACCTCAGAATCGATTATTGTCAATTAGAACCAGAACCATTAGCAAAAAAAAAAAATAAAGTAAATCAAATCTTAACTTTTTCAATAGGACTCGAAGCGGGGCTTTGCATTTCTGCGCAGACCCCCCGGGAGCAAACCGGAGGGGATGAGCCGAGGGAAGGAGTCGGTGCCATACCTTTATTCCTAGAAACTGCGAGGGGGGGCTCTCTCTTCAGCAGCACAAAGAGC